TTGCATGTTGCTTGCACCTAGTAATTTAGAAAAGTTTGTAAAGGTCGTTTCATCAATTTTTGTTGAAAAGTAATTTTTGCAAATTTTTTTTTTTCCCAAAAAAGACAGACTTCTGCATGTGGACATTTTGTGCAATACAATATTCAATCATGCTACTTGTACACTTTGGATGATACCCTCCCACATAGGGGAGTCTGTTTTTTTTTTTTTTGTAAATTTGTGTTGCTCTCCTCACGTGAGGAAAGTATCAACCTCGGATGTACAAGTAGTATTATTGTACAATATTGAGTAAATTCCTTGAGGGTTTTCCAGTTTTTGTTTTTTGTTTTTTTCATTTTTTCCATTCCATGTCCTCAACCTTCCATTTGGATGGACCCATCTCCTCAACTTTTGAAAATGATATTCATACCCAATAGACTACAAAAAGAACGCTCCATGCACTTGCTCAATGGATTATAAGTATAATAGTCTATTGCTCCACCTCGAAGACTTCCTAAATGGATAAGGAGAATATTTTGCATTTCCACGTAGCAGAGGGCAAATTGCCCATTTAATAATAGAGTAAATAGAAACAAACTCCCCACCCTTTCATTTCAATTGCAAATTTATCTCCAACTTTGTGAAATGGACAACTCTCCAACCTTAGGAAAATTAGCGCCATTCATCTAAATGGATAATATAAACATGTTTTGGATGTTTTGCAAAATTAAAAATAGATTCAAAAAAACAAATCAAAGGCCTCCTAAATCATTGATTGGGATGAACGATGTGACCTGGATTTGATTATGTTCAATTCTCAAGTTTTGCATAGTTAATTTATGGGATAATTGCAGTAAAAGCTCCAAACTTTTGAAACTCAAGCAGACTTTCCTCGTGATTTGTTGCGGCCGTCATTCCTAACATTTCCAAATGTTGCAGGTGAAGCTATTATGAACAATTTTCATCCATAATTTCGTCAGTCGAACAAAAAATTAATATCGACTACATTTTTAGAGATTGTCTGGTAGAATTTTTCTCCAGCTTTTCATCATTTTTTGGACCGTTAGGTGGGGCCCAGCCTCTCACAAGAATTCAACATTTGCGGCTCAACGGATGGAAAATGAATTAAAATCTTCCAAAAAATTTTTGCCAGACATCCTCTAATTCCGAATCCATTTGATAAGTGGATCGATAATCGGATAAGGTAAAACAAGAACGATTGACTTTTCATCCTTTAAATGTATATTTTCAATTTATTTATTTTTTAATAGTTTTCAAAAGGGTAATTGGCGCAAAACGTCTCTACCTATGATGGGTTGTGTGGAAAACGTCTCTACGTATGATTTTTTTGATGCAGGATGTCCTTACCTTTGCATTTTCTTGCG